TTTGGTACACACAGGTACTCCATGCACTTCTCAAACCCAATCATATGGTGGCAGTAGAAGACCACCAGCACCATCCAATTCAGAGCCATTCCTCTGGTGACCCATCCATAGACTAGGTAAGTTCTGGTCTCTCTTTCTTCTTACCTTGGGTAAGGAGTGAGTTCCAGCATGTCATCTAACATCTCCTTTTTTACACTGGTATACCTGTGTGGTATACTATGTACCTTTGCACTTAATGGGGTAGAAGTTGGTGTGGTTTCCCTGCTGTAAATACACTCACTATTGGGCAGCTGTGCCTGTTGGTGGTGATCCAGAATTAGACTTTTTGAAAGAATCCATCAACCACTGAAGATAGCAGATGTGTGCTCACACTGCTGGCAATAGTCTTAGTGGTGGTCTCAACTTGTACCACCAGCTATATAGCACTCAGCTTTTCTAAGACCCTGAACCATGTCTCTGCCCCACTCCATAGCTGTGACCCTGATCCTAATGGAATAGCTCATTTATTATCTTATCACTGCCATGGTCTCCACCCAAACCCACTGGGGTACCTAGAAGCATCCAATTTATAAGATACTTCTTGGACTGATTAATGTGTCCATGGCTCACAATTGTGTGCATTTGGGAATAAGCCTCAATGTGTTCAGGCTCCCAGGCCCACCAGTCTCTGCTCTCAGAGTGTGGAACTGGGAGATGCCAGGACCTTACCATAGGGAGGTCTGCAACTGTGTGGGTGTAGTCCTGGAGGGGAGGGAAAGCTTGGACTTCACTTACAGCAAAAACTGGCTTTGCTTTATCCTTAACCAATCAGTGTGGTTAGCAGAAAGCTCAGATCCTTGCAATTCAGGTGTTGGTGACCTGTCCTCTCTCTTGGGGATGTGTCACCAGCATTTAAACTGCTTTCTCTAGGTGAGAAGACTAAGACAGGCAGGCCTGTAAGATCCAGTTGGATTCCTTGCCATGTCCTGTGGGGGGGTGTGGTAGTTAGTGATGCCTTTCTTAAGGCCACACAGAATGGAGGTGGTTGGTAGGCCCAATAGTAAGCACCCTTCAGACAGCTCTGCCTTTATGGAGATTGCTGCCCGGGCCTGGGGCAGCATGGGCCATTGGTCTCCTCTTCTCTGTCCCTGCAAACCCAGCACTGGCCCATTCATTTCTCTGCCACTGCCACCATCACCACAGCCGATTTGTATCCACGGGGATGGAAGCTGTGTCTCTATTGCCTCCCCTTCTGCCTACTGGCCCTCAGCTGACCAAATGCATAGAGCTTTTAAAGTTTTCTGCCAAATATTACTCTGCCTAAAATCTTCTTTTTCCCTTTTTCAACATATTTCTGTACTTATTAACATAATAGAATTTTGTCGCTTTCAATATCATTAGTCAATTTGAATTCTTTCATTTCATAAAACTCAAAGAAAGAATATTTTTCTGTGTAGCAGGGGAATTCTTTGAGTATATTTACATACAGCTTTTTCTGTAGAATTGTCCTGCCATGCTTCATGTTATTTTTCCTTATTTGCCATTCTACCAGTATATTTAAGATCTCTTAAAAACTTTTGTAGTTTGTTACAAGGTACTCAATATTCTATTGCCTAACTTATTTAATTATCACTTGTGATTTTTCTTATCATATGAATATTCAAAACTTTGAAATATGACACTTTGCTAAGGGTTAATAAGTTTTTCTCAAGCATGATATCAGAAAAGTAAGCTCTGGAACCCTCAGGTTTGTGCTCCTCATGCTAGAGATGCTGTGTCCCTGATGGGAACTGTGTTCTGGCTTTTCTGGATCCAGACCCTGGGCCTGCGGGAAGGGCTCAGGACAAGCTGAACCTGGTACAGCTTAACTGAGACTCAGCTCACCAGAAAAAGTGGGCAGCCTTCCCTTAAAGTGATTGCTGAGGTCCCTTGGGAGCCAGAATGTGTTATGGGGCTTTTAGGAAGATGATTGTCTCTCTTTTTTTTTTTATTGTTGGTCGTTCAAAACATTACATAGTTCTTAATACATCATATTTCACAGTTTGATTCAAGTGGGTTATGAACTCCCAATTTTACCCCGTATACAGATGCCCTTTAATAGATGAATGGATAAAAAAAAATGTGGCATTTATACACAATGGAGTATTACTCTGCATTAAAAGATGATTGTCTCTTAATCGAGGGAAGAAATAGCAAGCTCCCTGGGCAATTATGTCATGAATGACTTTAACCCTTTCTATGCTTTGAAATGTGCTGGAACACACAGAAGCACGTGCACCAAATCTGACAGCTAGGGACCTTTACAGGAACACAGCCATGGAACTGCCAGGAAGGGCTACCAGAGAAGCAGATTATCACAGCATCAGGGTTTCCCCTTGGTCACCCCTCCCCATGGCAGCCAGTGCTACAAAGACTTCAGATGTGCCTTGTGCTACATGCAGAGAAGACCTGCAGCAAAGCTGGCCATCTGAGCAGAGCTGCTGGTCCTCTCCCAGCCTCTCCCACCCTCACTGTAGCTACCAGGCCGCTCCTGCCAGGACCTGGGAGTCACAGCTCCCCGGTTCTTCCACGAAGGCCCCATCTTGTCCCAAGATCTCATTCAGGATCCCACGCTGCATTTAGTTGTGGACTTTGATACCTTCAAAGAATATTGAAGAATATTGATTGGTTATTTTTCCAAATGAATTTGATAATAATCATTTCCTGCATTATTATTATTGTGTTATGAGGTCAATGTTTTCCTCAATATTATAGGTTAGCTTTTACTGTTGATTCACAATTGTTTGTAAGAGGATGTAGGTTGTGCTCTTTAGAGTCTGGCTGCATATGAAGAGCAGGACTCTGATTTGTGCAGTGACAGGAAGCCATATTGGATCATGTGTGTGCTTACACACACACACACACACACACACACATACACAGAAACAACAACAAAACCACACAATATCAAAACAACAGTTTAAAAACATTCAAAAAGACAAACAGCATGGACAAAAGTGAATTATAAACCCACAGTTGACACTACTGAAAATTCTATGTAAAGTACATCTTGTGACCACCCCCAGCAAAATATGGTAGTACATGTTAGGCCACACAAGATCAATGCCCCCCCCAAAATTACAAAGATTAAAATCATTTTGTAAAGCTAATGTCTAACTGCTTCCACCTAATGAACTGCCTCTGACTTGAACCCATTTGCCTTCATCACAAAACTCCATCACAAAACTCGATCCTAATGATCTCAGACAGCATCATCTACTGGATGCTTTCACTCAGCTGAGAACTAGACTACCTGGACAAGATCCAAGGAGCTGATTTCCCCCCTGGTGCTCAGCCAAGGAGCTACAGGGGACATGAGCAGGCAGAGGGCCGTGGAGGGCCAGGCTGGCTCTGAGCACATGCTTAGGCAGCAGATAGGGGAAAGAGTTAGTGGGGGAAAGTTTCCTGACATCCACCACTCAGAGCCAAGTCAGAAGGCTGCTTCTGGTTATGTCATTTCCTGAAAGGGAACTTGAGAGACTCTTCAGAGTCTGGGTGACATTCTCCTTCTTGGCCTGTTCACTAAGAATTAAGGGGGTGAACTTCATGTTATTCATGTGAACTAATATGGTCTTACTGGAACAAATTTTATATTTTGGTAGGATTTTAAATGAAGGGAGTAATTATTCACTTTAGTGTGTGTTTGGAACTTAGTAGTAATGGCCTGTGTGATCAAGAGGTCCAAGAGGGTGTCTGTGCATGGAGGAGGAGGAGGAAGGAGACCACACCAAGGGCCAGAGGGTACAAACAGTGCCAAAGCAGCAGCTGAAGACAGCGCCAGCTATTCCCACACCACCCTCTCCAGCTTCCTCAACAGTACACTGCTCAGTGGACAGTAAGAAACAGGAGCAGAGGACAAGAGCTGCAGACGCTTTAGGAGAAATCCTGGAAGCATGTCTGCGACTTCAGTGGTCAGCTTGCGGCACCATGAGCACCACTTCTGTGGTTGTTCCTCCTCCAGAAACACCTTTTATACAACTGCTTTGCCAAAGGATCTCCAGCTGGTTCCTCAAAGAAAATAGAATCCACCCCTCCCACTTCAGGAAGCTTCTTCACCAGGTCTCTCAACCTTCTGTCCACGTCCCAAGCCTCCTCAGGAGATGGCTCTGTTCTATTTTACGGAGAAAGGGGAATATTGCAAAGCTCTGCACTCACCATGTTAGAAATAGTCATCTAACTTGCTTTGGTGTGGGAAGTGTGAGAAGGAACAGTATATGTAATACCTGGGAGGACACAGGGAGTCCTCAGGACTTTCCTGTCCAGCTGCATCTTCTCCTGTCAAGGGAGAGTGAGTACAAACGAATCTGAGCTAAGGAAGGAGAGAGCAGCTTGCAATGCCAAAACCTAAGGGACTTGGCAAATGTCCCGGAGACAAATGGGCACCCACCTTGGTCTCTATGGGCAAGACACAAATCTGCATAGTTGATTAGGTACTGATTACGCCTGTGGCTGCATTAGCTATCCTCTTATATGTCCTGATTAACATTCCAATTCTACCACACAGGGTCTCTGACAAGCAACAGTGACTTCAGCTCCTGGCACTGAGCATCTGTTCTGCAGACATTTTGCCATGAGCCTAAGTGCCAGGACTGTGGCCAGGAGGATATACTATCTCTGCTATAAATGTCTGTTATTAAACCAAAGGGAAGATGCACCCTTCAGAGCTCATCTGCAGTGACCACCTTCTCCAGTGAAACCCCACTTGCCTACACTTATCTCCCAGTCAGTCCATTCACAGTAAGATGGACTGACAGGGTTACACCACTCATAGCCCAGTCATTTCCCTCCTGAATACCCCTGCCTTGACACAGGAGCTTTGAGGACACCTCACATCCAAACCACATCTTTTAATAAGCTCCATGTTTTAGGAGCCACCTCAGATGCATCTTAGGTAGGGAGCCTGCCCCAAACCCTCCTTCCACCCAGGACTGGCATTCTGCCCGTGGTCATCCATGTGGTCTTGATTTTTCATCACACAACTCGATCCTAATGATCTCAGACAGCATCATCCACTAGATGCCTTCATGATTGGACCTTGAGAACATTCCCCAAGGAATGTGGAGAAATAGCTGCACTGTCTCAATAAAGATTAGACACA